GGGAAAGAGGGTGGAACATGACATCAGGGAGGACTTTCTAGGCATGAACATAAGAAGCAATGCAGTATATTTGGTAGAATCACTTTGGGAGTGGTACAAAATACCAAGTGGAGAGACCCTTGAGAAATGCCTAGCGTGGGGACAACATTCAGGTCAAAGAGGGCCTTTTACATCATATAGGGAAAGAGGGTGGAACATGACATCAGGGAGGACTTTCTAGGCATGAACATAAGAAGCAATACAGTATATTTGGTAGAATCACTTTGGGAGTGGTACAAAATACCAAGTGGAGAGACCCTTGAGAAATGCCTAGTGTGGGGACAACATTCAGGTCAAAGAGGGCCTTTTACATCATATTTGATAGCTTTTTGATATTTCTGTCACATATACATATACATATATACACATGTATATGTGTGTCTGTGTATTTTTCTCATGTGAGAAATGTTTTGATCTAAGCACTTTAAGATAATGCTGAGAAACTATATGGAGCAAGAAGTTGGAATATTTTTCAGGAAAAAGTCTTCTTACTCTCAAATTCTCAATTCCTCAATTCAATTTTGTATTAGCAAATATATAATTCCAAGAAAAATAAAGAACTAAAACTGAATAGAGATAAAAATACAAATCTTAATATACAGAATGTAATTCTGTATTTTTTCATATGATTCATAAACATTTCCAATAGGCATTAATAGAGCCATTTTGGTGCTGACATTAGGGCTGGGGAGAACAGATTTGGGATTTGTCTACAAACTGGCAGTAGTCAAAACAGTTATCAATGAGCATGGGATCACTAGGAGGTGTTTCAGCAAATCTTCTGAGTTTCAGAACAGCAGACCCCTAGTACTTTTATGGTAAACAGGACCAAGCAGACCTGGGACAATACTCTAACTCCTTTATCTGCCTGCTGGTCCACCAGGAGCAGAAGCCCAAAACAACCAAGCAGTAGTTCAGTGGAGCCCTCAGTGTGTCTCCTGATGGGTTGTTCTGCCCCCAGCACCACTGGCAGAACCAGAACTTCTAAGGCAGTGGAGCCTAAAGCACAGAGGAAGGAAACAAATTTGGGCAGTGGGTCACACCTAGGGGGTCACTGTCACTTCTACCTCTTGCTTCCTGAACCTGCATGTTTCAGTTGTTGGGTACACAGAATCAGATATCAGCCACTGAATGCACATACTGCATCCTGAAAGACAACACTCCAACCCCACTTCAACCTTACAAGAAGCTATCCCTGAGCTAGCACCTTGACTGAGTCTTTAACAAGCGATTCAATTGTTGTATTAGGCCAGCTGCTTCAGTTAATGTGGTATATGGTAAGGACAACGAATCCTATGATTGTGTGTCCACTGGCAAACCTCTTTCACATAAAATGGGTCCCTTCAAGGCCATGGATGCAGGTTTCCATGTGGTTAAGGCAGGCATTCTTTAAGCCTTCGGAAGATGGTGCTGGCAGAGGTATTAAGAAAGTCAGTCTATTAGCTAAAGTAAGTATCAATTCCAGTTAAGCATGACTTTTTGCCCCCATCTGGAATGAAAAGTTCTGGTTGGGATCAATCTACCACTAAATGGTTCACTGGAAAGTGTTTAGCTTTGGTCTCTGCTGCTTGATCTTTGATCTTTGAACATTCAGCAGCAACAGTTGCTAAATCAGTCTTGGTAAGAGGGAGCTCATGCTGTCAGACCCATGCATAACCTTCCTCCCTGCCATCATGCTGCTAATGGCACTGTGGTAGCAGAAGTGAGTCTGGCCAATATGCAAGGGCGCCTCATCCTGACTTCTGGTTGTTAAGAGTCTCTTGCAAAATTCCCCTTCAAACTTTGTGCTGACTCTCAATGATCTATTCACATGCCTATTCCCCCAAAACCCTTGTCTCTCGTCTTGATTCTTCCAAACCCTTGACCAACCAGCTTCACCATTATCATTACTCAGGGGGCACGTACCTTCATACTTCAGGGCATTTCTCCCTCTACATAAGATGAATGGCTGAGTGGGCTCTTTAATGCTGTGCCCTCTGTCCTTCAGAGACATCCCTGAACAGGGCAGTAGAGAGGCAGCTGCCCACTTTCAGCAAGTACCAACATACCAAGCCAAGTCATCTGTGAAGCAGGCTAGAGATTTTCCTCCTCTATCACTTAGTCACAGATTTTGAGTAAAGACAAAGAGTTTAGTTTTAAATATGTCCAGTTTGAAATGTCTATTAAATATCTAAGAGATGTGTCAGGTTGGCAGTAAGAGAAATGAGTCTGGAATTTTAGAGGGGCCAGGATGGACATCATAAATTTGGAAGTCATCAATATATTCTTGTAAATGGTATTTAAGGCCATACACAAACAGTATGTAAATATATAATTATACAAATGGTATTAAAGACTGGTTGAAACAAGTGATGTAAGTACAGATGAAGAGAAGAGGATCAAGTACATTCAATTCTCCTATAACACTTGTTCTGAAATTATGGAACTGTTCCAATGAGATTGATATATTGGAGAACAATTTAAATACAACCTGAATTTTGCATTTGCTTATAAGTGTGATTTCATCCACAAGAAACACAGTGAACACAAAAAAATGTACCCACCTGAAACAAGCCACATAGAAATATATATACTCTCAAACATCTGCCACCTACCTCAGCTCAACACACATGTTACTAACCACACTTACCTGCATCTAGCACTAAAACTTGGCCTTTGATTTTAGATAAACCTCCTTCCATGATTCACAATAACACACAAGCTGCAACCCTTTTGATGCCCACTTAAGTTTACTACATGTAAACTTCAGGACTTTTTCAAGGTCATATGCCATATTTATCATAGTATATAATTATTAGGCATCTAACTGTAAAACGTTTTTTATTAAATCCCTATCTTTAAGGGTCACTGATCAAGTTTTTGAGCAGTGTTCTCCTAATCCTTAAAACTCTCTCTCCCATAAATTCTGTTTCTCTTTATGCAATTTGGCATAGCATGATTTTTAGGAACCTATCCATCATATTATGGCAGAACTGATTGTTATGAAGTTGGGGTCCTCCAACATTAAGAGGGTGAACACTAGAAAGGAAGCAGCAGAGACCCAGGAATCTGCATCAGCATTTTTATGCTAGCAGAACAGTACATGAGCACATGTGGTGGAAAGAGTATGGCTTTAAGGTCAAACGGTTCTGAGCTTCCTCTACCACGAATCAAGCATTCTCAGCTTCTTCTTAATATGAGGACCATAATGTCTCATGGATTTGGGTGGAGATTAAACAAGTGCCTTTCATGGTACCTAGTAATACATTAAGTGCCAAAAAATTTGTTATTCCTTCCCCTTAAAATATAGGCATATACCTAATAAAAAATGCTATGTAAAACTATTCTACCACTTTATAAATAAATATACATGTATATATATTGAAAAAACAAACTGATTCCTATGTATTTCAATTCCTAACACAATGAGAATTTGCTCCATTCTCCCACCCCCAATTTTAATCATAATGAATATAAGTTAAATTAACAGGTCATTAATCTCAATATATAAATAGCCAACCCTTCCCTTTTCAGCAAGAGGCATATATTAAATAAATCCAAAGATATACCCAGGAATGTGTGATGGCAATTTTATAGACTTAAATTTTACCAAGTTAGTGAATATTACCATACAGCTTCCAAGACTGAGAGGAGCTTTGTGCTTGCAGGAGTCACATGGAGAAAAGTTATCTAATTACACTTTCATTTAGCGAAACCTTCATCAAAATCAACAGCTTCCTGAATGTTTCAGTTTTAAAAAGCAAAAAACAAAAAAACAAAAAACCACACTATCCACAGCCAATAAAAGTGTGTGAACATATATACACTATATCCAAATTTTATTGAAATTTTGGTGAATTAATACTTTATTTGATAAAGTAAACTTTATAAAGTCCCAGTTACAGAAGAGTTCTCAAATGTCAGTGTCCACTATGCTTGGTAAAAATC